ATTTGTTCTTTTCCAAAATTGTGCGGTGGAACCCGGCCAAGTCTACAGTAGGATTAATGTTTGGTACAGGGCTCATCTTGGCCTGCAGATGTGGGAGCTGGGGCCAGTCTTCCATCAGCAGCTCTCCGGATGTCCCTTCCGTGGCCTGCCCACCTCTCCTTACTGCGACTGACTCACTCTCTCAGTTGATTTGCCTCTCAGGCAGGGACAGTCCAGGGCTGCTCCCAGTCCCGCGTACAGTTGGCTTCTCCTAGTCTTTGCACAGCCTCCTCTGTTCTACTCCCACTAGCACGTCTCGATCCTGTCCCCCACGAGGTGGTGGGGCAGGTGCTGTTGCTGCTCTTTCCCCTTCAATCTCTTCAAAGCTGTTCAAATCCCGTGTGTCTGCGTCTTTCTCTTAAGCCACTGGTCACTCACTTCCTTTACCGCCTCTGCTGCTCTTCGGTCCCTAACTTTGTTGGGTCACTAGGGTTTCTAGTTAGCCACTAGGGTGCACAACAAGGAAAAAAACAAAAAGGCTGGGATCCCACCCGTCCGGGAGGAAGCAGTTTCCTGGTTGCTCACTTGCTCTGGCATGTGCTGGTGAATTTGCTGTCAGGCTGCAGCATCCTCTCTGTGGATGAAGGCAAAAGAGGCAAGGGGTCTTATGTCCCAGATCTATCCTGTGTGGCTTGAGTCAACTGCACTTTTGCAGTCCAGCACTTTCTTGGAGATGGTGATTCTAGCTTGGCATGCTGGTAGCACAGCTGGCAGCCCTGTGGGCTGGTGCATTGTTTTAGAAAGTCCTGCACCTATATTTTGTTTGTTCTAAGAGTCTCTTATTTCAGGTTGATTTTGCCTTCAGGATGTATGTCCCTCCCTTTCTTCCATTTACCTATGTTTTTATTTGATTTTCTCTGAGTAGCTCCAGCATGGGTGCTCCTCTGTTCAGCAGTGTTGAACCTAATTTGTTCTTTTGAAAATTAAGATGATCTGTTATTCTGCTTTCTCTTTAAAAAGACAAAGATTTAGTCACATAGCAGACTTGTGTTTGAAAACAGATCTATCTGCCCAATGCCATATGGAAGAATAAATTATAAGATTAATTTTAACTTTAAATAATAGATAATACAGTTGACAGTATAAAACACGGGGAAGAGCACTCCTTTTGGAGGTGAGTAATATATAAAAGTCTTTGGGGGGGCCAGGGATTTAGCTCAGTGGTTCCGCCACCTGCCTTGTAAGCACAAGGTCCTGAGTTAGATCCCTGGTACCAAAACCCCCCAAAAAACCAAAACAAAAAAAATGCACCAGGGTTTGGACCTGAAGTTCACATGGAAGACTTAGAAGTTAAGGGTGTCACGAAGAGAGAGGAATGGCTTTGTTTCTAACTTTCCTGTTTGACCATCAGGTTAAGCTTATTGCTGAAATTTTACCCCTATAAGTTCTTGAATAAATTGAGATATATTTTGGTGACAAGAATGAAGTGCAAAGACCTTAATAAAATCATTCTTAGAACAAAAGTGATGCTCATGACCATTTAGCAAGGATACTTACTGATTTAGTAATCAAAATCCTAAAAATAGGCTACATTTTTTAGGAAATAGAAAACAAATACCAAAATGTTACCATTTAGTCACACCACCCCCCAATTTTTGTCACAACTTTGGATTTTTTTTCTCATTTCCTATTCTCTCATTAAAACTATTAGTCCTACTACCACTCATTCCCTAAATATATCAACCTGGAGCTGCCAAGAAAAATGTTTTAAAGTTTTGCTTTTAAGCCACCAAATATACTTAATAATCAGGTATAAATTGAAAACATTTTTCATCTCTCTAGTTGATCAGTTCACTTCATAAGAAAACATGTCATTTAGTGCATGATGAGAAATATGTGTTTAGGTTCAATCTTTAACATATGGATAGTCAGTTTCGGCAGCACCATTTGTTAAAGTATTTGGCTCATTTGTCAAAAATAAGATAGCTGAGTATGTCTGGAGTTGTTTCTGCATCCTCTATTTTGTTTCTTTGATCCACAAGTCTGTTTTATTGTCAGTACCGCATGGTTTTTTTTTTTTCTTTCTTTTTAAAGCTTTTATCGCTTTGTAGTCTAACTTGAAGTCCGGGATTGTGATGCCCCCAGCTTTGTCCATGTTGCCCAGAATTGCTTTTGCTATCCTAGTTCTCTCTCTCTCTCTTTTTTTTTGTTAATGAGGATCAAACTCAGGACCTTACATTTGTGAGGCAGGCGGTGGAACCACTGAGCTAAATCCCCAGCCCTCTAGGTCTCTTCTGATTCCATGTAAATTTTAGAATTTCTTTCTCTAGTTCTGTGAGGAATGCTCTTTGTATTTTGATTGGGATTGTGTTAAATCTATATAATAGTTTTGGAAGTATGATAATTTTGACTATATTTGTTCTGCCTATCCAGGAACAGGAGGTATGTTTCCATTTCCTGGTGTCTTCTTTGATCTCCTTTGTTGGAGTCCTGTAGTTTTCATTGTAAAGGTCTTTCACTTCCTTGGTTAGGTCAATTCCTAAGTAATTCATTTTTCTTGAATCATAACAATTATATGCCTATGTGTAGATTTTTTTGATCAAGGCTATTTGGAGTCCTATATGCCTCACTTATCTGTATGTCAAATTCTTTTCCCCTGCTTGGGAAGTTTTCTGCCATTACTTCTGTGAACAGTTTTTTTATGTCATCTGCACTCTCTCCTGTTTCTTCGTTGCCTCCAATCAGTCTTATGTTATTCTTCTTTGCATCATCTAGCAGCTGCTGGATTGATTTCTCGTGGTCCCTTACAATTTTGAAGCAATTTTTCTTTTCCTGGTCACTAATTGCAATCTTATCTTCTATATCTGAAATTCTGTCCTCACATTGGCTCATTCTGCTGTGTAGACTTTCAATGGACTTTTTGATCTCCTGAAAATCTGTTTGCATCTGTTTTAATGGATTCCATTTGTTTCCTATGTTGGGATTCCATCATTTTCCTGAGGTCCTCTCTAGATTTATTAATCATGTCTTGCACTATGAGCACAATCTCTGCTATTATCTGAGAAATTATTTCTGATTTCATTTTTTCCAGTTCCTCTTTTGTGGCCAGTTCACGGAGTCCAGGTGGTTGAGTATCAGAGTGTTCTATCTCATTTCCCTTTGGGGTTGCTGTAGGTGATCTGGAAATCTGGTTTTGAGACTTGTTTATGAGTCTTCTCATTTTGCGGGGGTGGGGGGTGCTATTGGCACCCACGTGGCTCACCTCTTCTGGGCTGGGAGTGGTGGAACAGTAGCCCGGACGGCCCTTCCTCTGGACTGGGCCTCTCTGGCTGCGCCTCACCCAAGGCTGCTCTTGGCTCTGAGCCTGAAGAGTGTGGGGGCAGGGCTGAGTGAGTTTAACCCCCTCCCATTCATCAGGATGCCGATTGGTGATTTGTAATTCATTTTTCTTGATGCTATTGTGGAAGGTATTATTCCCCTAATTTTTCTTTCAGTGAGTTTGTTATTGGTGTACAGGAATGCTACTGATTTTTGAGTGTTTACTCTGCATCCTGTTATGCTACTGAATTTGATTGCTAACTGTAGGAGTCTTTTGGTGGAATTTTTGGGGTCTTCTGTTTAGAGGATATGTTATCTGCAAATAATGACAATTTAACTTTTTCCTTTTATGCTCATATCTCTTTTCTTTCTTGTCTAATTGCTCTGACTAATGTTTCAAGAACTATATTGAACAGGAGTGGTGATAATGAACATCCTTGTCTTGTTCCTGATTTTAGAGTAAAAGCTTTCAGCCTCTCTACATTTAGTATGATGTTGCTTGTTGTTTTGTTATCTACGACTTTTATCAGATTGAGAGAAAGACCTTTTATACCTACCTATTTTCTTCAGGGTTGTAATCATGAATGGAGGTTGGTTTCGTCAAATGCTTTTTCTGCATCTTTTGAGTTGATCATGTGATTTTCTTTTCCCTGCTTCTGTTTATGTAGTTTATTACATTTATTGATTTGTGTATATTGAATAAGCTTGAGTCCTTGGAATGTATCCTACTCAGTCATGATATATGACATTTTTGATGATTTGCTGCTTTCTGTTTGCCAGTATCTCATTGAAGATTTTTGAATCTATGTTCCTTAAAGAGATTGGGCAGTGTTCTGTTTTTTTGGTTGGGTCATTTTTGTCCTGGTTTGTTGCATCTGTAGAAGAAATTAGTAAATTCTGGACATTAATCTTTTACCATAAACATTACAAGCAATTTCTGTAATCTGCCATCTTTTACATTCAATTATGGTGTTTTTCTGGAATGGAAATGTTTAGTTCTCATGTTGATAAATTTACTAGTATTTCACTTTCCAGATTTTGTAACTAATCTAAAAATCTAGTTTAAAAAGGTCTCCAGGTTATAAAAATCCGCCAGATTGTCTTCTAATTTTTCATGATTGTTTTCTTTATCTTGGGTAGTTTTTTTTTTCTTTTTTTTTTTTGATACTGGGGATCGAACTTGGGTCCTTGTGCTTGGGAGGCAGGCAGCAGCACCACTGAGCTAAATCCCTAGCCCTTCATGATTATTTTCTTTTTAATTTCAAATGTTTAATCCATCTGGAATTTATTTTTTATAAAAAATAGGAAATTCAATTACTGTCTTCAAAATTGATAGTTGTAAAAATTTTTGCTCACTTCATCCTTTCTCCAGTGATTGAGTCTAACATATTATAAAAATCATATGCTAAATCGCTGTTACACATATAGGTTTGGTAAGGGTTTTTCTTTTTTTGGTACCATTTATCTGCTTATTTGTTCCCACTCAAGTGCTCCATTATTTTTACTACTGAAAAGGAAAACTATCTATTCTTGGATATTTTCTTATCTAGATAAATTTTAGAATTAGAGTGTTCTCTTCCATGAAATTTTAAATTGAGAGTTTTTTAAAATTGTAAATTAATTTTATGGGATATATTGAGGACTGCCTTTATGTAGTAAAGTCAATAAATTTATATAGGTTTCTTTTTCTTTTTTTTTGGCAGTTCTGGGAGTCAAACCCAGGGCCTCATGCATACTAGGTAAGCACTGTACCATTGATCTATGTCCCCAGCCATATAGGTCTCTTTCTATAGATATTATACATTTCCTATTTATTAATAGTGATAATAGAGTTATTGTTATTGTAAATGGAATATTTCTTTTCCCCAATTGGTTATTAGTTTATATTAGAGCTGTAGATTTTTGCATATTGACTTTATATCCTGTTTCCTTGTTTCTACTTTTTTTTTAGTTGATTCTCTTAACTTTTCACATTATACAATTATATTACCATTTTATACAATTATATTACCAGTTATATTTAATTGGCTATAATAATTGTATATGGCCAGTTGAATTGGCTATCATTGCTACAATTTATGTGTAATAATGCTAACAGTATCTTCAAATGTACCTGGCTTGAGTGGAAAACTTCTAATTTTCACCATGAAGTATGTTAGCTTTGGTTTTTGATATTTTCTTCTATTCTGGCTTATTAAATTTCTGTCTTTTAAAGAAATGGATATTAGGGCCAGGGATTTAGCTCAGTGGTTCCGCGACCTGCCTTGCAGGTGCAAGGTCCTGAGTTCAATCCCCAGTACCAAAAACAAGAAAGAAAGAAAGAAATGGATATTAATTTTTTTGTTTTTGTACTGGGGATTAAACTCAGGTCCTTGTGCTTGCAAGGCAGGCGGTGGAACTATTGAGCTAAATCCCCAGCCTTGATATTAATTTTTATAGCCAAATTTTCCATCATATACTGACATGTGTATGTGAATTTTCTTCTTCGATCTGTTAATGTAATTCCGTTATCATAGGTTTTTTTTTTTTTTTTTTGGTACCGGGGATTGAACTTGGGTTCTCGCACTTGCACAGCCAGTAGCGAAACCACTGAGCTAAATCCCTGGCCCTATCATAGGTTTTAAAATGTGACCTAATGTTGAATTCCTGCAATCAACCATATTTTTCCATTATTTAAGTATTCTGCTATGTAAATAGCGTTTATCTATGTTGATACTTGAAATTGGCTTATGATTTTTCCATATATGTTCCTTTTCTGATTTTATTATCAGTACTATGCTAAACTTTTATTACAATTAAAAAGTTTTTCACTGTTATCTGTGATCTGTGCTTGTTTGTATGACACAGAATGTGTAACTGTGACCACTTGGCAGAATTCTCCTGGAAAATCATCTGAACTTGATGCAATTTCAGAGAGGAGACTTTTAATTACTTTTATTTTTATTTATTTATTTATTTATTTGGTACCGGGGATCGAACTCTGGTCCTTGTGCTTGTGAGGCAGGCGGCGGAACCACTGAGCTAAATCCCCAGCCCTAATTACTTTTATTTTAAAATTTTCTTTTTGTGGGTTTTCTGTTTAGGTTGAAAAGGGTATTTTCATACTTTTAGGTGAATAGATTCTTTGGTGAGAAAGGGTATCAATTTTTTTGTTATGAATTTCAAATTATGTTACAGCAGGACCTGTGTGATTTTGTTTTCTTTTTGGAGCTGAGCCTTTGAGGTTTTTATGGGATGATACATTTTGTATATACACCATGTATGCTTGAAAACAACTGGGTGACAAAATTCTACCTTTATAACTTTAGTGAAAGTATCATGGTTACATTATTTAGATCTGCAGTATTGCTAATCATCTTTGTCAACTTTATTTGTAGATTTCTGAGTGAAATATTTAATAGGGTTTTGTTGAATCAATTGTGTATTTTTTTTTTCCAGTACTGGGGATTGAACTCAGGAGATTGTGCTTGCAAGGCAGGCACGGTGTCACTAAGCTAAATCCCTGGCCCCAGGATTGTGGGGTTTTTTTTGTTTGTACCAGAGATCAAACCTGGGACCTTGCACTTGCGAGGCAGGCGGCAGCACCACTGAGCTAAATCCCTGGCCCCCAGGATTATGTTTTTAAAAATTTTCTTTCTCCTAATGTCTTGCCAGTTATATATTCTCAGGCCAGGTGTGGTGGCACATACCTGTATTCCCAGCACTCAGGAGGCAGAGGCAGGAGGATTGCCATGAGTTCAGGGCTAGCCTGGGCTACATTGTGAGTTCATTGCCAGCCTGAACTACAAAGCAAGACCCTGTCTCAAAAAACAAAAACAAAACAAAACCAAAAAAAGTTATATATTCTCCTTCAGTTCTCATGGTGGTTACATTTACATTGAAAGCAACTCACTTAATTGTTTTTGAGATATAATCCAGGTGGTCCAGAATTATTTTTAGAGGCAGTACCCTGATTCTGTGTACAGTGGACCCTCAATTTATGACAGGCCTGACATATAAACGACTTGGATTAATTAGGTTAATGGAAGATTCATCTGCTTCTTGTTATCTATAGCAAGTACCCAAGTAAACATCCAGATTTTAGCTGTATTGATTTCCATCCAATTTGAGTTACAACCGGCCCTCAGGAATTGATTGAGTTCATAAGTCAAGGGTCCACTATATTCTCAGCTACTGCTGGAAGAGTAATTTAATTCCATGAGTATTTATTTCTTTACTTTCTGTGGTACTGGGGATTGAACCCAGAGCCCTCACACTCAGTTACATATCCAGCGCATTTTACTTTTTATTTTGAGACAGTCTCACTAAATTGTCCAGACTGGCCTTGAGTTTGCAATCCTTCTGCTCAGCCTCTCAGAGTGCTGGGATTATGAGTGCATGACATCATGCCTGGCTCCATTAGTGAGCACCTGCTTTGTGCCAGAGCCAGTCACTGTTAGATAGATCTTGCCCTCATGAGGCTCAGTTTAATGGGGAGACCAAGTAAACAAATTGTAGCAGCACATGAAAGGTGACAATAGAGGCATAGAGTGAAGGGAGAGGACATAGGGTGTAGCAGACATCCCTGACCAGTACTAGTGGGCTATGAGTGGCACATGCTTTTTGCCTCCCTTAATTCAGCTATATAGTTTTGTATCAGGAGTCAGACCAAAGCCTTATGTGACTCAAATGGGCATGTCAGGTAGCAGAGTTGGGCCAGTATTGCTCCTTTGCTAATGGCTGTCACTGAGGCCTAAGTCCTGGTCTGTGAAGTGGCAGGGCTCTGCTGAGTTACATGCAGCTGAGGTCAATGTGACCCCAATTAAAATCCTTTCCCCTGAATTATGGCTTCTCACTGATCTGATGGATTGCTTGTTAATTGGACTTGTTCCCAGTTTGTTCTATCCAAGCAAGATAAGCAGTGGTTACTCCCTAACAGTCCTACCTGGCACCATCATGCCAGGTGTTTAGCAGTATTTCACTAGATGCCTTCAAGCATACCCAGCTCCCTATTCCTTCCCACAATTGTATTCAATAAATACTGGATGTGAGCAGCACTGAGCAGGTCCCAAGACCCAGCTTCTTAATTTTAAGTCTAGTTTCTCTTTATACTTTTGCCTTGTGCTATGGTGGCTCACAGGAGGCCAGAACCCACTGCAGAGGTTCTGGCAATGTCCCCTTCCCTGTTCCCCTATAGGAGGTTAGAGTGTGGTAGTCTCTCATGCCATGGTCCCCAGTGATCTATGTCTCTCTTGTGTGGTGCCCTCTCCTTGAACTGAGCTGGGCCTGTCACTCATTTCTTGTCAATAGAATGCAGTAAAAATGGCACTGTGACTTTCATATTTTTAATGCTTTGCTTTTTTTGTGATGTATTCTGTTTTTGATGTGTTACTTGCTCCTCAGCTCTGTTCATTGTGCTTTTTATTTTTTTCCCTAAGATTTCCTCTTTGTTCCTTTCTCAGTCTTTTAACATTTCTCTCTGTGTCCTTTGTTCTTGGTTGTCAGTTCTGTCTGAGCATAGCACCCCTGTTTTCCTGAGGTTTGCTTCCTGCAAATGTTAGAACATTATTGTGTTTATGCTCATTGGAGAGTTGCAGCTTCCCATTGACCCAGCTGTGGATACCGTACATAAGTCATACTGCTTCTAGTGGAGAGATGTAAGACTTGAGGCTGGTAGGATGCTAGCACTCAGTTACACCATGGCCAAATCCCATGCCAGGTCTCTCCAGCTGCCCCAGGAACTCTGTGTTGCTTTCACCAAAGCACACACTCCTCTGCTTTACTCTGTTGGCATAGATTTCACAGGGTGAAACACCTGCCTTCCCCTGCCTATTACCCTCATCAGGCACACAATCAGCTGCCTCAGTCCTACCCTACTTGATGCTGCTCACTTTCTTTGCATCCTCTGAACTTGGACCTCTCCTAGGACTACTCCTATCTTCACAGATGCCTTCTCCCATGCATAAATTGTGTGAGGCCTTCCTCTTTGGATCTGATTGTATATGCTTTCTTTTTTGTGTTGTTCCTGGAATATTCATCTTTAGGAAAAATGACTAGGGATAAAAATTAACCTAGATTTGAAAGCTGGCATGACAGGAAATCTTGATTGTTCATTTAAGCTGAGAATTCAGATCTGTTAACATTTTGACATTTGAGAAATAAATGTAGGGCCTGGAAAATAGTTTGAAAAATAAAAGGCCAATTACAGCAGCATACAGTGGAGAAAACTCAGTTTGGTAGCAATTCATGAAAAAGAGTTAGAGGATATCATGACTTCCTTTACTCCACTTTCTTTAGGGTGTCCTTTTATTGCTTTTTTTCCTTTTATTTGGTCTAAGCTTGCTCTACAGAGCCAGTTTATCTCTCATTCTTCACTTGTACTTTTTCTTTTTTCTGTTTTGTTTTTCCTGGTACTGGGGATCGAACTCAGGACCTTGCACTTGAGAGGCAGGTGCGGTGCCACTGAGCTAAATCCCTGGCCTTTACTTTTTATTTTTTGAGACAGGGTCTTGATATGTAGTTCAGGCTGGTCTTGAACTCACTATGTAGCCCAGGCTGGCCTAGAACTCACAGGGATCCTCCTGCTTCAGCCTCCCCTGAGCTGAGATTACAGGTGTGCATTGCCATGCCCAGCTCTTTCACTTTTTTGAATAATCTTGGCCACTGGTTTTTGCTCAGTTTGTTCAATTCTTTGTTCAGGACAAGAAGAACCTAGAATCTAACTCCAGAGAGAGGCAAGTAATCCAGAACCTGGAAATGT